CGGAGGAGACAAAGATAAAGCTTGCGTCCGTGGAGTTTGGAGAGTATGCCACCGTGTGGTGGCCCCCTTTTTTTTTTTTTTTTTTCTTTTCTTCTACTCATTTTCTTCTATAAAAAGAACTGGCCACCACAGGAGAGAAGGAATGGTACTTTTACTGTCAAAGAGACAGAAAATATAGAAATAGTTCAAGGCCTAATAGAGTCACAAGAGGTGGGTTTTGGAAAGCAACAGGCACTGACAGACCTATTTACTCATCTAATGCAACCAATTGTATTGGCTTGAAGAAATCACTTGTGTTCTACAAAGGAAGAGCTGCTAAAGGGATGAAGACTGATTGGATGATGCACGAGTTTCGCCTACCTTCATCCTCCGAGTCACACCCACAAAAAAAGCTACATGACAAGAATCTTTCTGCTCATGTAATAATTCTAGTTGCCAATTTTGATTACATAAATAGCTAAAAAATGATATGTTTTGTTGTTACCATGGTACATCACGATCATAGCTAACATGAGACGTTTTTGGCCAAAGGATACTTGGGCTATTTGCAGGATATTCAAGAAAACAAATCCTATGGCACAAAGACCTTTTGCCAGCTTACAGAATGTTTCTACCACAACAGAAATTGGGTCAACAATCCACTTATGCTGCAATGACATACAAACTCCTTTGGAAATTCCTAATTTCTCCTATAAAGTGATCCCAGTCAATAATAATCCCACAATTTACAAGCATCAGATTTTCACTTCAAGCTTCCCAAACAACTTGGTGTTTTCACCCATGGAAATGCCACAACTCAATTGTGATGCCCCTTCTATTTCCATGCTGCTGAATGATAATAATAATAACAAGTCTGCTGCCGTAGTTGATGATTTTAAAGACTCATCACAACAGGTCGGTAACAACTTTTCGATGGGTTTGGATCAAGAAATGGCAATAAATGATAATGAAGTACTGTTAAAGAAGAATAGTACTAGTTCTAATGATTGGGGAAGTAGTATAACATCAGTTGGATTTCCATACAATTTGACTTCTGATTTGTCATGGGAATCAACATCTTGTCTTGGCGAGATGTCAACATCTTATTCCACAAAAAAAAATATATTACTTAGAAAAAAATTAGTCAAGATTGCTCATAAATTTCAAATATGTGATAAGTCGGAGATTATTAATGTGAAAAAATGTATCTTGTATTGTTTATATAATTTTCAACTATTTGAAATGATATGTATTAAAATTTTAGTTAATTTGATTTTTATTTAATTCTTAATTAGTTTTATTTCTAATTTTGATGTGTTAAACTTTATATAGATTATTAGAATACAATTTATTGGTTGATTCTATCTTCTGATGTTTTATTACCAAGATCCAATACTTTTCATTAGTGTTACATAAACCCAGTTTATAGATACGTTATCTCTTGTTATTGTTATATATAGTATATGTCCCTTTGGATATGCAAGTCAAGATGGCCGAGTTGGTCTAAGGCGCCAGTTTCAGGTACTGGTCCGAAAGGGCATGGGTTCGAATCCCATTCTTGACATTTCAGTTTTTGTTCTCCGATTTTCGCGTTGATTCCTTCCTCTGTGTTTAGCCATTCCGAAAGGCTTTTAAAGATGCGACCAAATTTGAGTTTAAAACGATGCCGGTTTTAGTTCGATTGAGTTAAATAATTTATGTGGATAATAAAATTAAATATATTAATATCAATTATTGAGCCACTAATCATAAAATATTAAAAAATATTTTTATTTTTTTTGTCGTATAAAATATATTCATCTAGAACAAATATTTTAAATAAAATAAAATAAAAATATAAAACCTAGAGAAAGATAAGTTTAAAATAAATTTAAACCAAAATTAACAAGATGTAGCTTTTCATGTAATCACAAGGACCTTACCTACTAAATGGACTAATTATGTTAATCTGATTCAAATTTTAATTTCATTTAATATAAATATAAATATAAATAACATGTTCAATTCCAAGTTAATTTAATATCTAGTTCAAATTAGATATTTTACAATTCATTCATTGGCAAAAAATAATACAAAATAAATAGTTATAGAGTTGAGGATAAAAGAAAATTTATTTAGTTACATGGCAAATCAGTAAATTATGATTAACTTCTATATTAAATTGTTATCATATAAATATTAAATGAGAATATAATTAGTTTAAACCAAAAATAACATAAGAGATGTGTCACCATTTTACATTTAAGCTACTTAAATTAATTTAATTATACATCAAATATGTAAATTATAATTATTTTTTATATAAAATAATTGGAATTTAGAAATTAAATGATAACATAATTGGATTTAAACTAAACATAATGTGAGAAAGATATAAATATTTTAACCCTTAAATTAGGTTTAGAAAATTCAGAATTAATGTAATAAGACACAATATTTTGCTTCTCTTGCCACCATTAGTTTTGTCTTGTAGGTGGAGGGCCAGAAATCATACACAGACAAGATGATTTTGACAAATTGATTTCCACTAATGTGGTAGAACAAGAACATCACCATACACAGCATCCTTTAGGCAAAACAAGAAAATTATATAGACGTCTAGTAGGCCAAGCATTGTTGGGTAAATATCTACATCAGATTGGATGGGATAGTTAGTTCCTCTAAATTCTCCAGAGATCATTCGGGTTCAAACTTTTTACTTCAAGCAATTTAGACTAAAAAAAAAAACTATATAAACATAAACATGTATAATTTAATAGATTACGGTCAATATAGAGTAGTTAGAGAGCCATATAAACATGTATATTTTATAGTTAATCAACAAGGGAAAAGAGAGAATGATGGTTCTACATGTATCTTTCCGTTAACAAAAGAAATCTTGTTGAGCTTATTGTGACACCACAGTAGCTGGTCTGTTGTAATTATGGAGGACATGTTCAAAACTCTTGCTACTAGTTTCATGTCTACTTGAGAGAAGAAGTAAAGGACTTGATCTGAGTTTTCTTCCTGATGCTTTTGAAATTTTCTTAGTATGCAGTTTCCACTTCTCAATATGTCTTTAAGTTTCTTCTCCTTCTGCAACAACACCCAAATAGGAAAAAAAAAAAAAAAAAAAAAAAAAAAAACCAGTTGAGGACTTTTTTGTTATATATATGTTTGTTTGTGTGTGTGTGTGTATGCAATATACATACCTTTTGAAGAGCTGATCTAACATTTGCCAAAAGCTCTAAATCTGCAAGGCCTGGCTGGGGTTCAACCTGTGTTCCTCTCCTGCTTTTTCGTGTTGCGACGTTTGCGTCTTTATCGGCTTGAACAAACCGCCAAAATATTCTGATCGATTCTTCCATGATCTCCACTAGCATATCACTTGTAATAGCATCATCGTCTCTCCCTCTTCGTCTTGCCTTTCTTTTACCTTTCGTACTATCTTCTGCATTACAATCAGTTAGATTTTTCTTTTAATTCAAAACTTTTGTTTCTACATCAAGAGATGCCACTAATTTAGCATATATATGTATATGGAATTGTATACATATCAGAAAATACTCCAATGCTGATTCCTGAATCGAAGTATTGAATTTCTCACCTCTTATTACCGGAACTTGAAGAAGATTACGCAGAATGCACCGTGTCTTGACATAATTTTGTACTCTTGGGCCTTGAAACGGTTCGTTCTCTATGAATCTTTGTATAAGCACTTGAAACTGTTGAAATTCGCCAGCAACTTCATTGTATCTATGGATTCCGTAAGGATCAGATTCCCATATTTCCAAGGTTTTTTCGTATTGCCAGTGGAGGATTTCCCACGAGAGGCACAGCTGCCCAACATACACCGTTTCCAGGTCACCATGCAGCTCTCTTATGAACTGCTTCATTGGATCAAACTCCAACTTTTTACCCTTGAATATATTGGGAAAAAGTGATGTGATTGCAGGATATTGAGAAGATTTCTGGCCTGAGATAGAGTGAAGTGGGTCCTTTGACTGCAGAAACCTGTAGAGATTAAACATATAGGACTCATGCTTTACTTTTGCACATCAGAATGCATTCTCAGAACTTGAGACTGCATTTGATTTCAACTAATTAAGTGTATGAAGTATGAATCTCAATTTACATACTGTGTGGGTAGGGAATTTCTTTCACCATAAATAACATAGATTCTCATAAAACTATACACATATATACACTTCTGGTTTCGTGTAAGTATGAACCTAAAATGGAATTCTCAGGTAGATTTAGTGGGTCCAAATTCTCCTTATCTAACTTCCAAAAGACTAAAAAGTAATGCAGAGTGTGTTATTCATGCCAAATGATTCTATAATTACATTAGTTTCAATTGGTCAAGAAAACAAAAAAGATTTACCTCAAACTAATTTGGTCATCATTCCAAGATTACTTCGAAAAACTGAAAAATTGAATGAAGAAAAGCAAACTGACCTATTGCATACATCTTCTGATAGTTCAAGATATCGAATTTCCTCATTCTTTCTCTGTAGCTTTTGTAAAATTTATGAAGCTCTCCCATTCTATCCTCATGCCGGAACATCTCATCAATCTTCCATGGCTTCAAATCCTCCATTATCTTGGGTGATTCTGATTCTTCAAGAATAGTTGGCAGACCAATGGCTCTCACCTTTTTCAGCTCCATCTTCAGCTGCTCTATCAAATCTTGATGTTCCCATAGAGTTTCTATTCTGTTAGGATCTTCATCCTCGCAACCTGATGGCTTCTCTGAGCCGGACTTGTTAGTATCATCCAAACTTCCATTTCTTCTATCACCATTTTCTTCTTGATTGAAATTGCTGCTAATTTCTGATTCTTCAAGTTTCTTAAGCTGCTCCATTATTTCAATATCTTCCTCAGTTTTACTCAAATTCTGCAAATATGCTTCTTCTAAATCTTGCTCGGAAGATTCTATCTTCTCCCCATCAATGTCCTCAACGGAAACATTATCAAGTTCTTCTTCGAAATCTTCTTCTGATAAGAATCCGTCATCCACTGAACCCATGAGATCATTTACAAACTCAGGGCTTGAAGCTATAGAGTTCAAATCAGAATTAATAGCAATGAAGTCCTTCTCTGATAGAAACTGAGCTTCCCCTAAAAAATCTTCCTCACTTGATGATGAAATTCTGTCATACCTAGAGACAGAATTATCTGGTTTTTCTTCATGAACAGCTTCTGTTTCTGAGTTGTGATGCGGGAAATACTTATCAGACAAAGACCCTTCATCTGTAATCTCCTCAATACCATTTTCTGAATCAGAATAAAAATCTCTGATACTCGAGCTTAAATCCTCTGGCTTATCCATGAAACAACAAAGATCCTCCCCTGACATGAACTCGTACTTGTTGGCACTTAACAGAGCACCTGAACTAGAGCCAACATTACCATCATATCCTCTGTAACTTGTACTAAATTTTTGATAAGTCCGCGTCTGAAATTCAAACTTGAACAACAAGTTTGATGACTCTTTTTCGTCCTCCATGTTTTCCTCGAAGAACTCAATCATGTCAGGACCTGTATTTTCACGGGATTCATCTTCTGACTGATTATAAACCGACTCCAGCAGATTTTTTTCTTGGGGATCAGCAGCCAAACAGTCTGGGTTCTTTTTTTGATTGGTTTCTTCTCCTAAAAACCTGCAATAAAATTAAACAATATAACGAAACAAGTAGGGCTAATTTGAAGAAACAACATACAAAAGTCAAAATCCCAGTACCTGAAGAAGCTTCGATTTACGAAACCAAAGAGAGCAAGAAACAGGGAAGAGACAGAGACCCAGAAAGAGGTACCAAAAAGAGCCATCTTTTGATACAATACTCCATTAACAGCACCTATATTGAATAAATAAAAATAGATTATATGCAAAAAGTTGTTGAGGACACCCATCGATTCAATCCATCAATCACCTTAGTGGGAGCTGTGATTTCAATCCATCAATCACCTTAGTAAATAAAAACGAGTTCTATGCAAAAAGTTGTTGAGGACACGCATCGATTCAATCCATCAATCCCCTTAGTGGGAGGTGTGATTTCAACTTTAAATTTTCATGCAAGAAGAAAAAAGGACTTATCACCTGCAGAGGAATACCCAGAAAGATTTGCATGGAAAGAAGAGGAAATATGACCTAATTAAGGAGACTAAGCAAAAAAGGAGGAGAGAAAGGAACATGTGAGCGACTGAGGTTTAGGGTGTGAGCTAATCTTTGGTTGCTTAGAGGCATGGAATTCTCAAGACCGTTATGTGAGAAGACGAAGGTTGTGTGTTTTTGGAACTTGTAATTTACATGCCATGTCAAAATTGAAGCTTTACCCCTGAATTATTCATGCTTCTAAATTTCCTTCTTGTGGTTTTCCTTCTGTTCTTTTTTCTAGAGATGGGTAATTAAGTAAATTGAATTACTCAGAATTTTTTGACCAAAACGCAATTTGAATGTGGAAGCAAGTTACTAAAACGGTATGGTTTTGTAGGTCGGTGACTACTACGTAATACCCCACCACCGCCACCACAATCTCAAGAAATCACAAAAATGGTCAATCAGGTATTTCCTTAAAAAAAAAAAAAAAAGGCTAAGATATTTGATCCAAACTACAGTTAATTTATTTAAGACATAATTAATTAGGATACTAATGAAGAAAATATGAAAAATTTCAGTCTGAAAATATTATTAGGGTAAAGTTAATTTGTTTAATAAGATGAAAATATAAGGAAGAAAGTCATTATCATTTATAAGAACATTTTATTCCTTAAAAAGATTTAAATGAATAAGACACATAAACAACAGAATTTTCCACTAAAATCTTCATTAAACGAATCTATTCGACCCTTCAATCTAATTCAAGATTATAAATGGCTTAAACAGTGTAATTAGATATAAGAATTTCTTTTTTTTAAAAAAAAAAAAAAAACCCAAAAAGTATTTGGCTTAATTAAGTTTTAATTTTGCTTCCAACATTTAATGGTGTAGACCAACTCATGCATTTCTTAATTTAACTTAATTTTTCAATCCTTTTTAAGATAATTGTTTTAAGGTAGTTTATAAAATCCACATTTACAAATTATATTTAAATTTACATTTAATGATCTAGTAGAGATGAAATTTGATAAAATTGAAAATATACCATATCAATTTTCTAATCGTTCATGTTTAATATTTCATAGTAAAACTCATCTTTACGTATTTTTTATTAAAATGAAAAAATTTACCATTTTCTAGCTAATAAAAAAAATTTAATGTAATAAAGCACTATCTTATTTCAAGATTAATTGGTGTAGAGGTCTAAAAAAATGGAGATAAATTTTGGCAAGTATTGCCTGTACAACCTACCACCTCCTCACAACCTTCATCACCCATACATATATATATATTAAAAATAATAATAATACTTGAATGTTTTGTAACAAACTCTTTCTTTATCTCTTTACAAAATTTTTATTTTCTAAAAAAAATTATTGATGTACTTAGCAATACATAATATACTTTCTATCAATATTTTATGTTGGTATCACCATTAATTTTCAGTACTCTAATCTTGAAAATAAAAAATATTTGCATTAAATTTAAAAATTCATTAAAAAAATTCTTACAACATAACTCCCAAAGGATCAAATCCTAAATTTCTAATTAATTAGTTAGGTTATTAAAACTTTAACTAATTAATTTAAGTTCTAATTTCACGTAGCCATTAAACTCTCTAATCAATCTTCAAGCAACTTGATTAACTTAATTTTAGAATTGTCTAAATATAGTAGTCCTTCATAACTCGTAATATAATAAAAATTTAATCAATTAAGTATGTAACTCATTAAATTTAACTATTTATTTAATAAAATAAATTGAATAGTTAATTGATTAATAAATATAATTAAATTGTTGAAGATAAATAAAAAATAAAATAAAGGAATTAACACCAATCACATCGAGTAGTGAGATATCATGACATGCACGATCAATTTAGAGAAAATTAGGTTTAAAAAATGACTAAATATTTTATTTTACCTCCGACATTTTCCAAAAAGATAGTAAAAATTTAGAATATGCATTACGATTCAAATTCATTAAGCCTATAGCAATCATAACATCACCAAAAAGTAAAAACCAACTACTTACTATCAACAAAAGATTAGATGAAAGTCAAAATTAGTGAAAACCTTAGAATAAAAGCTAGTAAAAACCTTCTTCCTCTTCATACTCACAATAAAGTCTAAGCCAACTTCTATGTGTATTTTTAGTCACATAAAGTAAAAATATTAAAAACAATCTCTATATGAGTAATGTTTTTAAACCACAACCTTGAACATGAAATTCCAAAATATTGAAATTATCATTTTATGGAATTTGAAAACAAATTAGAACAATGCTTCTTTTTCATACTTAGTCTATTTTATTTAGGGGAAAAAGTGGGCAATAAATTTTGCTGAAATTTTACTACTTTGGTAGATTACTATTTTAGTTTCTGTATTACTTGTTGTGTTATAATTAAATTTTAAGATATTTTTCATCACAATTTGATTCTCAAACTTGTAATCAATTCATATCTTAATATTTTTATATAATTGTAATGAGTTTGACATAAAATAGCGACAAAAGTATTTTTTTTTTTAATCTATTTATATTTTATTTTCTATAAAAACCGAGTTATATAAAACATATAAATCAATCTTAATAGACTTAAAATTTTATTCAATTCAAAAATGAATTAAAAGGTCAAAGTTTTAAAATAAATATATAAAATTAAGAATCAAATTATAATAATAATAATAAAAAATCTTTGAAATCCAATTTCAATATTATTCAATAATAAAATTTGAAAAACTAAATTAGTTTGTAATGATAATTTTATAAACTTAAAAAACTCTCATATTCATTTGCAAAGTGTTTTACAGGCTTAATATAGCATTTGACTCTTGATCCACTTCCTATGGTTTTTAAGTAAATTGATAATTATATTGTGGATTCATCAATAACCAAAAACATGCGTCAATAAAATTGAAAATATTTTCATGCAAATTTGACTTTTGAAACATAGTAAAATATTGGCTTTATTACATTTTACTATATGCCTGTAATATATTATATATTAATATAAACATTCTTCCTTACATGATCATATAACATATCATTATTAGGGTTTCCACGTGCTTTTGCGTGCTTAATTGGACTTTGCTAAAATATGATTTCTAAACTTAATTATTAGTGAAAGTGAAAACCTTATATAAATAAATAAATATATATATATATATATAAATGACTTGTCCAAATAATTATGTTCCACAAAATGGTGCGAAAGGCGTACTGGCTTGAATATGTTGTTTTCGGATAATATATATAGGTGTTATATGCGTGTGCTTTTTTTAGCATATATATATATGTGTGTGTGTGTGTGTGTATACATTTTAACGTACATACATATTATATTGATAACCAAAATTCAAACCTTTGTTCTCACGGAGACTAATGGTCAAGGGTGAGACCACAGAATTATATGTACACACACATAGATATGCAATAAAGAACTGTACTGCATTCTTTGTTTGAAAAATAGGTACATACTTCATATCAACATTATCTGAGAAAACAATTAAATATGAAGTTTGAAAGTAATTGATTAAATAAGGTAATCCAGCAGACAAAAAATGTAAACGGCAACATTATATTGAGATAACAAAATTCAAAGGAATTTGGAATTAGCTTTAATGCTCATTATTGTTTTGGAAAAAATTTGAGACAAAAAACTTGAATTTAAGACACATATAATAGACTATGCGTCCGTATATGCATCAAGTTTAAAAAATAATGCAGTGTCCGACTACGCTTGCACCACTTCTCGTCCTTATTTATTTTTTCTCTCATTTTTTTTTTATAATTTATAAAAAGTCAACATGTGAAAGTCCGAGATTTTAATGAAAAAAAATTTATAATTTAAATGCGAAAGCAAATAATAATGTTAGCGTTTACATTCTTTACACAGTATATTACAATAATCAATAAGGTTACGAGAATGTCCCTACTACAGTGGTTCGTAAAAAAGAAACAAATAAATAATTTAAAGTAAATAAATAAATATCCTAGGAATTAAGCTCTACTACATCTTGAAAGGGTCCGGAAGGTAAACTACTCACAATCTTCTTATTGATCGGAATCTAGATTTTAGTCCTCTTGATCTGAAATAGTTAAAAGAATGGTGAGCTATACTAGCCCACTAAGAATATCATACTAATCACTGATACGTAAAACAAATCTTGATAAAAATTACAAAATAATTAATGAACCTCTTAATTTAAGTAAATTCATTTATCATGAAGAAAACTGTTTATCCCATACTTACCGTCATAAGTTTTCTAAAAATCAATCTATGAAGATTAATATCCATACAATTTTTCAATTTCATGCACAAGTAAACAAAAAAGACAATTTTCCTTTCTTACTTGCTTATTGGTACCCTTCGGGGTCTCTATAGGCATGTCTCCATACGCGTGAACTAAATATCCAAATTTATCAATTAACCGACCATCCCCATACCCCATCCGGTAATGGGCGTTAAATATTCCATCGCCTCGATACTCTGTCTGGTATGAGAGTGAACTATATCTCTCAAACCTTTCCGGTATGAGACTTTCCAGTCTCGTCCGATTGAGTAACGTTTACAGTAGAGTTCCTTATGTACTGCGCCCGTCCGCCATTTCTCAGGATACCCAGTAAACCTTTCACATAAATATCTCCATCAACAAAATGAATACTAAGCGTATACCAACCTCTCATATCATATTCACATATCAATTTTAATGGCATTTAAGCAAGCAATTTAATTTATCATAACCAATAACCGAGTAACCAGATAACTAGATAAATCATGAATGAAGGATCCAAATGAACCAGATAATCAAGAAGACTATAAAAACTATCAGTGTAAACGTGCACAATATAATAGTAAACAATTTAGACAGTACAGAAATATAAATAGGCAACATAGACAAGCTTAGGGCGAACATACACTGATAAATTTTTCGACTCCACTAGTGACTTATAATTATTGTTAGGATTTTTTTAATTTTTATAAAAACACATAATTATCAATTATTAAGCCTCCATTTACCATAATAAATAATATAGTGAGTGATCTTTACTCGAATCGGTGTTTCAAAATGTTGAACTATCCACTACGCCTCTCAACGGGTTCTGAATTTTCTGAATTTTTTATAGGAATATAAAATACTCGTCACGTACTTAAAAATACCCAAAAATCCAAAATAAGTGTTGAAAACCCTTTTCAGTCAATTTAAGGGTTCTGACACTGTGGCAGTTCACCT